CAGGCTCTTTAAGACTAGATTCACACAAAAATCTACATTCACATCTCTTAGTTAATGTCACTTGAGCCAGTGTCAGTCCCATACTTTGTGCCGCGCGTGTCTCTGCTCTCGGGATCAATAGACCGCTGTAGCGTTTAATCAGCCCAACCTGCCAGCCCAACCATCAAAGCCTCACCGCCAGCTCCCCACGGCACCTCACCCACTTTTAATTTCCTCCTTAAGGTTTTCAGCGATCAAGTGTGCACTCCTTTACCTCATTATTTGGTGACGGTCCAGGTTTGGTGCAACAAAAACACAGGGGAGGCGCAATATTGAAAGTGGGCCCGCGAAGTGGAGCCGGGGGGTGACTGCAGCCAAGAATCTAATAAGAGCACCCAGAGGTCAGATGCAGGCTAATATGAAGAGAAAGAGTGGAGAGAGGAGGCTCTGCTTACGCACACTGGCAATGGGGCAAGGAGAAAGTGTAATAAGGAAATGGGAGACAGTGACCCCAGCGTTTTTTGCAGCATAGCATCCACTCTGAGCGACTACTTGTTTAGATTAAAGGTCCTATATTTAGCAAAATTGATTCTTGTGAGCTTTAAGTCGAGTTCTAATATTGTTACCTTATCAAAAACATACCTGGAGTTGTGTTTTGTTTTATTCACAGATTTTTAAGAGCTGATTTTTATTAGTCTGTCTACATCTCCAAAGCTCAAAATGATCTGCTCCACCTTGTGATGCCATGAAGTGATAGTTTTCAAGTTAACCGCTACTTTTTACCTTTAGTGATTGGAAATTGGAAATTCCAGGGGTGAAATCATCCAGATGATTCTAGTGAAGGTGTATGGAGTTTAAAAACACAGTGGAGCACTTCCTGTATTACAACATGACATCACAAGTTGGAACAAAGTGTCTTCTGTTTGAGAGAAGATCTCAGCACAAATATAGGAGGTTCGTATGTTAAAAGTGTGAACAAAACAAAACTCCATAATCGATCGTCGGAAGAATTAACGATCGATTATCGATTAATCATTAACGTTTTAATATTAAAATGATCATCATTATTATTACTATCTGCACTACTAATCTGCATAAATCAATTCAACTTTATGACATATAAACCGTAACGACTCTAGAGCCACATCAGCCTGTTTGACATTATAATGTGTTTAATGCAGCTTTGCGAAAGTCTCACAGAAACGAAACTTAAAAGCGCATGGCTAATTTGCATAAACTAAGCGAAGATAAAAATACAGCTCTTGTGTCGCTGATGCCGTTCAACTTCTGTCGGATTAAAAGACATGACTCGGTAGAATATAGGTTAGTGTGACCATATTTGCGTTTGTCAAAACCAGGACACCGTACGAGGGTGGGAGGTGGGGACTCGTCATCGACATTGCGCGAACTCTCACCTGGCAAAACTTTTTCCCACTGGACACCGAAACATATGTGCTGCTTTGTGCACTGTGCACATGGACTCACACTTGTCCCGACCGGAACTGAAAGCCTGGAATTTCTTGTACATGTCATCGTTAAATATGCGTTTGCACTTCGACACGTTGCAGACTGACCGACTGTTTGTGTTTGCTCGCTCCTTCTGAGTGCAGAGAGACACATGTACAGACCCCTGTTTGGTCACGCTACGCACAGCAACCTACATTCCGTTTGTCGATTAAAATGAACGTAATCGATGAATTTCTTAATGATTAATTATCGATTAAACGACTAATCATGCCCATCCCTACTCCAAGCATGTTTTTGATTAAGAAACAACATTATAATCAGAATATTCTGTAATAAGTGTGTTGCAAAATAGTTGAAAAGAATAGAAATGTGTTTTGTTCTCAAGATTTGTATGTGTCTTTTCATTAATCTTTTTTTTTTTTTTTCATTAAATGTATGTGCTTATTTGATGACAATTTTTTTTTTTACCTTGTTGAGGACTAGTGGAGTTACACTACCAGTCAGACATTTTAGAACACCACACTTTTTCTAGTTTTTTGCTGCTAACCAAAACGTATTCTAAATGTTTTGATTCATGAAAGTGTCCACCTTTGGCAGATATAACAGCCGAACACACTTGTAGCATTAATTTTACAATAGTAAATCAAATATTCTTCAGAAAGTTCTTCCCAAGTCTGTTGCAGAAGTTCCCGTAAATGTGTGGCACTTGTAGGTTTCTTGACTTTCACTCTTCTGTCCAGTTCATCCCAAAGCAGCTCGATGGGGTTTAAGTCTGGAGTCTGTGCTGGACACTCCATGTTTTCAAGTTTACCATCTTATTCTTTTTTCCTGAGGTAGTTTTGGCAGAGCTTGGACGTGTGTTTTGTATCTTTTATCTTTTTTTTTTACCTCTGGCTGTTCAGTATTTACCTTTGTACCATTTCAAGCTCTTCATTGGACTTGCACGACTTGAATTGTAACAAATAACTGGAAAAATGAGGGTGTTCTGAAACATTTGACCAGTAGTGTAAATAGAGCTTTATTTTATATCCCCATTGTATTTTTCTATCTGTATTAAGCAGCACTTTGGAAACGGTTTGGTTTATGAAATATTCTACATAAATAAAGTGGATTAGATTGGATTGCGAAAAACATTTATTTAGTTACTGCAAGTGCTTTTATTACTCCTAAAACAGACTGTTACAGTTCTGACCTGTAACTTAACATGACGGTATTATCTGCTTGTCTCCATGGAGATAGATGAGTTCAGAAGACGATGGATTATACAAGGACACATTTACAATAGAAACAAGCAGAAAAGTTAGAGATTACACCGAGTTTAGAGTAAGAGTATAATCTCTGTTAAATAATAGCTTTTCTTTGAATGTCAACCGTCATTTCATCATTTTTCAACAAAAGTGAGAATAATTATTCATAGAAACGAAATCTGAAATTACACAGTGGGCTCTTATTATTCACATCATTACTAATTATCTGGACTTCTTTTATATGCTATGAAATATCTTGAGATTTCCTGGTTGTTAAAGGTATGGAAACTTCTGAGTTGGCCCCAATTCATGCAAAAGAAAAGTTACATTGTGCGTCTTTAAATGGTATATAGCACTTCTCCACCTTAAAGGCACTCAAAGCTCTTTACATCAAGAACCCACTCACCCATTCACACATACACTCGTACACGGGGGGGTTAAGTGTCTTGCCCAAGGACGGCATTCATCTGGGCCAACCTGTGGGTCACTGGATCAGAACGCTCAACCAATCATGTTTAAGTAGAGAGCGGGATTCGAACTGCCAACCTTTAGATCAGTGGGAAAATACTCAAGCAACTGAGCTACTGTCGCCCGCCTTTAACTACTGTAACATTTAACACTGAGAACACACACTGCAAAAACTAAAATGTGGCCAAGTTAAGATGACTTGAATTAAGAAAGTTTCCTAACACTTTAGATTAGGGACCACATATGTAAAATGCATAATACGTGCTTAATTACACCTTTGTTAGTATTTATAAAGTACTTTTAATGCAAGGGAGTAACTATTCCTACAAATAAAACCTACAAACACTTTAAGACAGAAATTGGTTCACCCAAAGGACAAAACACTGAGCCACAAACAAAGCAGTGTGCTCTACTCCATTCAGTGTAGTGAAGACTGCAGTGAACGTGACACTGGAGAAACAAAACAACCGCTTCACAAGAGGATGTACCAGCACAGATGAGAGAGAAACACGGGACCTCAGTCTGTTGTGCATCTCCATCTAAAATCCAAGCCACTCTGTGAGGTGAGGTACAGATCTGAGCCAGAGAAAATAATTGGTTTGAGAGGGGAGTTAAAGAAGCTGTTTTTGTCAAGAAAGAGAATCATTCTCTAAACACAAATGGAGGCCTCAGACACCATCTATCTCCTTTACAACTCCATCCTCAAACCTAAATCAAAACAAACAAGAGAACAATAGCTGTAGCCAGGTCAGGTCCAGAGGGGTGAAAGCACCTATTATAGCCCTGAATGATTATGCTAATATAATCCCACCCTCAATGTATTTCAATAGGCCAAACTAACTAACAGAAACTGAAATTGCGGTGTGTTAGTTTCAGAGTAGTTTCACTGTAGTTAGCTCCTCCCTGCAGGTAGATAGAAGGAAGTTCTCACCAGCATTCTGACCAGAACTAAAGAAGCAACTTGGATGAGTTGCGAAACATATTCGACCAAATAAGCTTTGTCCAGTTGATAAATTTAATTTCTGGATTTTTCATACATTCAATAAAATTTTTGTCTAAGGCAGTATTTTGCAAGTATTAACCAGTTAACTGTTTTCTTCCCATTAAAATAGTGGAGATTACAACAGATGTTTTTGTGCATACACTGAAATCTTAATAAGCATTAATAAGTGTTTGATCAATACCAACTAACAGCTAAGTAAAAGCTAATAAGCAAACCAATTACCACTTTGTTATTAGCTATTAATATGTGGTCCCTAAACTAAAGTGTTACCAAAAGTTTTATCACGATTTGAGTCAATTTCACTTGGCAAGTAAAATAATCTGCCTTGTTCTTCCTTATCTTGTTCTTAATTTACGAACAAGATCAGCATGTAGCTACATTTAAGATAAGAGAAACAACTACTTTTTGCACTTAAAAGAGGAAACAAAATGTAATGTTGCCTGAATTAAGAAAAACACACTTATTCCTTTGGTGGATAATTTTATCTGACAAGTTGAATCTGCTAAAAATGTACGTCATTTTAACATAGTTCGATGTCGCTTTTTGGAAAATCATACAATAAAATGATATATAATGTTTCAAAGTACCCAGAGATACTTCAAACTTGAATACCCTGAACTTCAAATCACCCCTTGTACTCCAAAGTGCCTGACGAGCAGCTCTCCCCTCTCAGCAGTTCTCGTTGGCTCCGTGCTCCCATCATGCCTGTTCTTTAAGTGCCTCTCATGTTCTACAGGGCTCTAAATCTGTATGCTGTTCAGATGAAGCCCCCCCCCCCCCCCCCCGTGACCCCCGCCCCTGCCCCATGTGTTAATGTGTTTTGCCTGTCTCCTCAGATGCGCGCACTTGTGGCATGGCCAATTGCCAGTACGGCTGCGAGGTGCTGAAAGGCGAGGTCCGGTGTCAGTGTCCATCACCCGGGCTCCAGCTGGCTCCGGACGGGCGGACCTGCGTGGGTATGTCCTCGCTGTATTTATGACCACTGTACAACCATTAACTTTGATTACTGACACAAAATCAATAACAAAAAACGCATTCTTTATATGCTTTAACCCTTTATTATTAGTCTGTCTACATCTCGAACAACATCATAACACAAATTTAAAAGAGCGTAATATCAGCTCATTACTGATTGGGAATATTAATAGGTTGCAATCACATGACCTTTTCTTGTTGGATGTCATTTTGAGGCTGAAACTGAACTTTTTTTCTGCTCCCAATATGACATTTTCTCTTTTTTTATTCCTGTATTAATCATGTAGAAAAACTAAACAGAACTACAAGGTTAATATGTTTTATTTAATCATATTCCTCTGGAGAAAAGCAGTTGATTTATTGTTAATTAAAGGTGATACTGCCTCGTAACTTTTTTATAGTTCTCCCCCAGGACCCATTTGGAATCAAAACTTAAATGAAAAACTATGCAGTACCAGTTTTAAGTTTCAAGTTTTTCCAATACCCAAACCTTTTTATTTGGTACTGCTCTGGCACCTTTAAGTCAGGGGTGTCAGTCTCAAATTCACAGAGGCCAAAATTTAAAACTGGGAAGTCATGGGCCAAACTAAATATTTATTGAAAAATTTCAACATCTACATGATTTCTCTTCTTTCCAGTTTTGTAATGTTAAACCTTTTCTTATTAAAATAAATGTTCAGTAATAGTTTTGCTTAAACATTGAATCCAAAACAAGCATAATTTAAAATAATAACAATATTTTAAATAAATAATGTCTCTATAGTCTATCTGTAGCCGGCGGGCAGCTCTAATACATATTTGATATGATCTCGCCGGCCAAATATAATTATATTGCAGGCCAAATTTGGCCCCCGGACCTGAGTCTGACATGTCTAATGTAGAATAACTAAACAGAACTACAAGGTTAATACATTTTATTTAATCATATTCCTCTGGAGAAAAGCAGTTGATTTATTGTTAATTAAAGGTGATACTGCTTTGTAACAGTTTAGAGTTCTCCCTCAGGACCCATTTGGAATCAAAACTTAAACGAAAAACTGTGCACTATCAGTTTTCAGTTTCAATTTTTCCAGTACTCAGACCTTTTCATTTGGCACTGTTCTGGTCCAATGGTGCCAACTCTACTCAAGAATATTGTGAATTGTTAATTGCTATGGCAACATTCTAAATTTGTAATCTCTCTGAAACAGATAGATAAAGGCTAACGTCTGCTGTAATGTAATAAGTCGCACAAATCTAAGCATAAATCACCTTGTAATTACACAAGAAAACAATGCAAAACTGAACTTCTCCAGATGCCTGTTTTCAAAACAAAGTTCATCTCTGTGTAATATAACTGACTGATAATGTTGTTTGGACAGGCGCCGTGCTAAGACAGAGACCAGTAACAAATTGGCTGAGATGCAAAGTGGGTCAGACGGAGGCTGTGAAAATGTTCTATGCCTCTGCTCTTATTTTGAATAACATGTGCCAAGGAAGTCATTAAAAGTAAAACTGGTAAAAAGTGAAAAAGTAAAAACTGTACCTTTATATAATCGTACAATTATATTAAATTTCCTACGTTACACAAAGTGGACTCTTATGAGCATAAAGCCATGTTATAATGCTGTTACCTCCTCAAAAACAAAAAAAGTAAATCTAGTTTATTGGTCTGTCGACAGCTCCGAAGCTCAGAATGCTCTGTTCCACCTTCTGATGTCATCAGTGGTAATTTTCAAGTTAACAGGTCCTTTTACCTAAAAAAAAAAGAAAAAAAAGCTCCTTTTACCTTTAGTTTTATTAGAGATCGGCAATTCCAGGAATAAAATTATGCAAATGATTCTAGTGAATGTGTATGGAGTTTAAAAACACAGTGGAGCACTTTCTGTATTACCACATGACATCATAAGTTGGAGTGTTTTCTGTTTGAGAGAAGAACTCAGCCTAAAGATGTAGAATTTGTGTGTAAAACATGTGTGAATGAAACAAAACACAACTCCAGGTCTGTTTTTGATCAGGAAACATCATAACATAGATCAGAAAATAAGGTAATATGGATCCTTTAAGACACAGGCGCCAAAGACCAATAAAGCTTTTTACACCACTTTTATTCTGTACTTCAAGATACTTATTTGATCAAAATAATCTTTCACTCTCCACCATTTCTCCTGTTAATGGCTAGACACAGAAAAGAACTCGTGGAATTTGTGCTTTATTGCGTCTTTAATGTTTTGCCAAAGAAATAACCTTGGGAGAACAGTGCAATCGTACAGCCTTTTATGTAATCATTTTGAGTGTAGAACTATAATCAAAACATCTGAAATTGTGAAAAGCTCTTGTGTGATAAAATACAGCTGACCAAGGAGATAGTTCGGACAATTCAACTTTGTACCTATAAATGATTTTGGAAGTTAAAAAGCCAGTATTACACTACTTCCTGATCTATGTTATAATGTTGTTTACTAGGGGTGTAACTTTACATAAAAATCACGGTTCGGTACGCACCATGGTTTTGAGGTCACGGTTCAGTTCATTTTCGGTACAGAATGGGAACAAAATACAAAACTGTTTTCTTGTTGTTTATTTGTGTTTTTATTAAACCAACAATTTGTTTTAACATTATACAAATGGGAAAATAAAATAAATGCAAAGTGCTGATTGGTAATACTAATAAGTTAAATAAAATATTCTTAAATAAGCAACAAATGTATGAAATATTATAAAAAATAAATTCCTTGTAAACAGTAAACAAAGTGCAGCACTAACAGTTCCAGCATGAAGTTTTACTCAATCCTCATATTTTTGGCCAGAAAAACCAACTTGTCCACTCTGTCTGCAGTAAGTGCAGATCTGCTGGCAGAGATTTCGTGCCGGCGAAAGGCGAGAGTGAGGACCACAGCGCGATGACCGTAGTTGCGAGGATTCATGTGGTTCGGAGAGACGTAGTTAATTGTTGTCAAGGTGGCCTCCCAAAATATGAGAGAATGAGAGCCTCGCACATCAACTACTAGAGACGGGTGCGTTGGAGGAGAGGGAGCAGCCCCAGAACATACAGAAAAATCCCGCACACCGTCTTACTTGCAAACTGTGAAATTTATTAGGACAAACCGTGCAACGTTTCGGCACTAGGCCTTTAATGAAATCATCATATAACGATCATAGAATAATAAGAAGAATATATGGATACATATAGACATAGTATACATTCACCCAACTATAAAATAATGTTGTCGTGCCATATACACATCTATATATATACACAATGAATCTTAAGCTGTAGCCCATATACAGCCCACCCAAAACAAGAGTCCTAATGATGTAAACTGAATGTTTACAAAAAGATGCTAAGATTAAAATCGCCATTGATCCTTTACGAGTTAAAGTTTGGAGAGTGTGAATCCAAAATGCTTCCCTTTGTTTAAGAATGCGGTCATGGTCCCCTCCTCTGGGTGGCGGGGGGACATGCTCAATGCCACAGAAACGTAGAGAGCAAATATCATGTCTCTGATCATTAAAATGTACTGCTACAGGGTAGTCCCGGTCGTTCCTTCTGATGGAGCTCTTGTGTTCACTTATTCTTTGTTTAAGTTTTCTTGTGGTCTTTCCAATGTACACTAGGCCGCATGGACATTTCAGCCTCCCAAAATATAACACTGCCACCTCAATCACGGATGAGTTCTCTTGTGAATATTAAAGAGCCGAGCCTTCCGTGTAGCTGCACATGTAGTGGCCGAATGTAAACACACACAAACTGCGCAAACTCATGCACAGCCGCACATTGAACCGAACGTCCCGATACAATTCAGCACGAATACACGTACCATTACACCCCTGTTGTTTACCCATCAAAAACATGCCTGGAGTTGCGTTTTCTTTCATTCACACATGTTTAACCCACAAACCCGACATATTTAGGCAGAGTTCAAAGCTCAAAATGCTCTGTTCCACCTTGTGATGTCATGTGGTAATACAGGAAGTGCTCCACTGTGTTTTTAAACTCCACACACCTTCACTTGAATCATTTGGATGATTTCAGACCTGGAATTGCCTGTCACTACTAAACAAGAGGTAAAAGGAGCTGTTAACTTGAAATCGACCGCTTCATGACATCACAAGGTGGAACAGAGCATTTTGAGCTTTGGAGATGTAGACAGACCAATAATAAACATGTGTGAATGAAACAAAACACAACTCTAGGCAGGTTTTTGAGGAGATAACAACAATCTAACCCGACCCAAAACTCAGAATAGTCAAATATAAATATAACTCATACAGATTATACGATTTGTAGACTAGATAATAATTCATACTTATTAGTTTTGCAGTAACAGAAAGCACAGTTTCAGCTCTTAGACACTGAACTCTTTTTCAAACTTGCCAAAGCACCAAGAGTAATGTCTCTACTGCTATTTGAACCATCCAGTGTGATCCTCTGGTTACTCCCTCCTCTGCAAATCTGATCCAAAACGTCACCATAAAACTCCCCATAAAATACTAGCCCTGCTCCGGAAACATTCCATTTAAGTGTCGCAACACCTGCGGACGCCCCTTCTGCCCTCCAACCCCCCCCCACCATCACTCTTTATGATGGATGACCCCCCCTCTCCCCCACCCCCCTGAGAGAGAGAGAGAGAGAGAGAGAGAGAGCCCCGAGTCACCGAGAAGCTGCTTCCCGAACGAACCCCTAACTTACAACCTCTCTTTGTGCCTAAATTAGTTTATTCTCAATGCAGTTTTACTTGAACTTTAGTAATACTTTGACTTTGTACAAGTTTTACAATAACAGCACTTTAACCTGAAGACAAATTTAAAGTCCATGTGCTAAAGACTGAATAATACAGAAATCGAATTGGGTCATATTTTAACATTTAAAGGTGCGTTGTGTCACTTTTTTGATGGAGGCTTTTCTCTGAGATGTTATTGCTTTGCTTTGCAGTTACCTGGAAGTGATACTCACCTGGGGGGGAGGTGCTTTCTGCTGGGTGGAGTATAAAAGGCAAGC